GTTAGACTCTCCTAGCCATTACATCCGCATGTAGACTTGTAATGCTATTTCTTTTACTGTGCTGTGTAGGAAATTGAGTCTATTTCTGTTTAAATACTGGGGTAATAGAGCCTGCTATTTAGTGCAAGATTTATGTAAATAGCTCTTTGTTTCACACGAGTGGGCCTTACAGAGTGTAAGTTACATCGATAATATAATTATGCCACTACTGCCATTTCAAAGCAGCACGTTGTGGAGAAGCCTCCAATTTCTGTATAGAACAGGACTTGAAAACCTTGCACTTTTAAAATAAACTTTTATTCTGCAGTAAGAAAAAAATAGTAGAGTTGGATTATAGAACAGCATGTTCTGGAGTTGTCGACCTTTTTAGCTTAGAACCCAAGATTTCTTTTATATCAGATTTGTGGAGCACCTATTACTACACATCATAATTGCATTACCTAAACTGAGTTAGCCTTAAAAAGCAATTTCCCCACCTTTCCTAAAGGTTCATATTTTGTTTAATGTCATTCTGATGGTCAGTATTTCTTCAGTCTGGCATTTGTATTATCATGGAAGTTACGGTAACTTTTGAATATTATTTGAGTTAAAGAAATTATCTTGCACTTTCCAGTTTAGAGTTCATTATTCAGGTGAATGTTGATTGCTTTTTGCAATGCAGAGTAAGGCCCTTGCAGCCCTCTGTATCTCATTTCTAGCTAGAGGAGTTTTGTACGTTCCAAAATAGACTACTCATCCTTAGAAGTCCTGTTCTTGTGCATACATTTCTTACATAGGATGTTGCCCTACAGCCAACCTATACCATTTTGGCATAATTCCTTTTCAGTGGCAGTCTTGAAGTAAGAATCTCTTTCTTCCAGCCTTGAAGTGACTCGTCCGTACAGCCCAAGGCAAACGGGGTGGCCCGGCGCAGGAACAGGCAGTGACAGTCCCTTGTCCCCTTGCCCTGGCTGCAGGCCAGCCCCTGAGCGGAAGCACGTGCCCTCCTGCCAGGGCGGACCCACGCTGCGATCCCGAATGGCGTCCTGCTGTCACACTCTCCTAGCAGCTTTGGCAGGGCAGGGAAACGTCACATACCGGAGCCTGCATTCAGGTGATGCTGCACTGTTCCTTTCCAGCTTCTTGCTTGAGGAGATAGGTTGTGTGGCCGAACGTGCTCAGCAGCGCTGGCAAGGGATGCGCTTGCTGCAGAAACTCGGACGCCGTCGTTCTCTGTGGAGTGCAGCACTGGGGGCTTTGGCCCGGGGAGCTGCCGCGCTGCCGAAAGCTCTGCTTAGCCCTCGTTTGAAAAACGTGATACAGGTCAAGAGCTCGCGTCTTCGTTTTTGTGCTGTGGAGGGTGTGGAAGATGTCTGCGGTAAGAGCAAACATCTCCCCTTCAAGCGATTTTTCTTGTAGCAGTACTGTTGGTTTTCTGTTTGTTTTCTAGTCGTACTTACTAAGCTAATCTTACTAAATTCTTCCTTTCTGCTAACTTGAGTGGAGACTGCAGATTGTTAATACCAGGCAGCTCATACCTGTTGAGAGAAGCTCAATGCTTCCGACTTGACAAATGACAGCTAGCAATTTTCTTTTACCTGTGTGAGAAGTGGTAATCTTTACCCTGTGCACTTTTATCCCAGTATCCTAGTCCCATGGAGTCCCGTGTCACCACTGTAGAAACAGTGGAAAACAGGTAATCTGCCTGAATTTTCTTACAGAGCTAATTAAAATTTTTCATAACTTTTAATTATGTAGTAGTTGTATTCCAGTAGAAGCTGGGCACTGTGGGCATGCCTGGGATTCCTCGTGCTGGACATTGTATAAGCAAGACAAAGAAAATATTAGCCCCCCCCCAAGTGTGTGTTTTGGCTGCATTAAGTATTTGAATTTTCAGGTTTTTCCGAGGCTGTTAGATACATAATGCCTGGTTTCTCTGTAGTACGTTCTTTTGTTGTACAGTTCCTTGGCGTTCCTGTGATGGTTTACATCTTCAGAGCTCTCAGATCAGATGCAAGGCCCCTGGAAGGAAGCACAGTGAGCGGTGTGGGTTGAGCCTCGGGCGTTGCACAGGCATCACACTGCTTGGCTTTCCTGATCCCTGCCTTCGGAGTGATCGCTCGCTGTTTCACTTCCAGGTGAGGAGGCTGTTCCAGCCATCAGAGACTTGTGTGGTGGCCTTGTAGGATGCTGACAGTCAGAAAACGATTGCAGGTCCTCAGTCTCTCAATTTATCAATCAGAATTCCTGAAATATCAGAAATCAGGTGTTACCATTTCCCAGTTGTATGGATGGGAAAATCAATCTGCTTGGGTCAGAGCGCAGTTGTCAGATCAGGTCTGCTGACACCATGTGGATTTTTGATTTCCAGTTGCTGAGCTTGCAGGAAATACTTGCAATTAGGGACTTAAAGGAACGTGCCTGTGCAGAGGTGTATTAAACAGTTATGCCACCATATGGGAAACAAGTACAGTAGGACTTTGCATGGAAATAACCAGCTTTTTCCAAATATGGGAACGGTGATCAAATACTCATTTGGGATGAGATAAGAATTTGTGGACTTCAAAAATTTATTCCCAAATACTTGTGAATGCTCTTTATCATGCATTTGGAGATGTCTTCTGTTTTGCAGCTCACATTTAATGGTGGCTCATAATTCCAGGCTTATGCTCTCTTTCTAAGCAAGTTGTTAGTGAGGTTGCCCTGAGCTTCAAGAAAGCCGAGCATTAGTGCTGCCGTTGCTGTTTTCTTCAAATGCAGTAAACCTCTCTTCCCGCAGAATGCTTTCCTGCTCTACGTTGCATGGAGATGCTCCATATTATTAATGTGATGTCTTTGTTAGAGTTCTAGAAACCAAACCCCATGAAGTTTTCATTGCACAGATCTCACCAAATGCAGCGGTTCGAGAAGGTACTCTTTTATCCTGGAGAAGTCTTTAACCCGGGCTGCCTGCCAGTTGGCTTCTCATTTGGTAGTGTTCTGTTCTTGATCTGGGTCATTAAATATTAAAAGGCAAAGTGATTCTAAAAGCCAACCATTTTTTTGAGACACTAAATAACTGTAATTTGTTTCCTAATAGATAGTTCTGTCCTTGTCACTGGGTCCAACTCCATACAGAAATAAATGTGTGGTGAGACAGGACTGTCCTGTAAGTCTCGTACACCATGTGTTTGCCCAGAGAATGAACCTGAGAATATAAATTGGGGCAGGCATAGAAATAAATTAAAACTTAGGTCTGTATGTTGGTCTGGTAGCCAGTCACCCGAGGTTTTCCCTTGCCCCAGTCATCATCCTCCCGGTGCCACCAGGAGCAGGGTTCTCCAGTGGGTGCTGCCGGACCCTGCGTGGGCTGCGGGAGGGAGACCTGTGTGCACCCACGCAGCCAGGCATCGGCACCGCCTGTGGGCTCTGCTGCCCAGGAGCCCCTGTGGAAATGCCGGTAACGTGGTTGCACCGCACGCTGGGTACGGGGGGCTGGATTGCAGTGCTGGGCACAGATGCCCTCCTCCTGAGGCACAGCGCAGAATGCCCGGAGCAGCTGGATTTGCAGCCCTCTCTCTGGCAAAGCAGCAGCAGTACTGGGTTATACTTAAAAAACCCCAAATGAAAACCACCCCCACCCCCGTGCACTGTGAATTTGCCAGCATTTCTGCTTGCACATTTGCTGCGCTGTGAAGTCTTCCAACTACTTTGTTTTTATTAAAAAATTGGTAATATTTGCTGCTGTAACTCTTCCCTTCTGATTTTCTTTGATCATCAGATTTGTCTATGGGGATTATTTACTGGAGAAGAATTGCAACGTGCCAGAATGTAATTCCTGACATTTTAGGAAAGGTAAATACTTTTTGAGAAATTTAGTCACGTTGCAAAAGCTTAGTGCTTCGCTGTGGTTTATCTTGTTTAAAAGGGTCACATTTCCTGATGACCTTTTTAATTAGAGAAGTTACTTTTAAAGAGAAGTTAAGAGAAAAAAAAATTCTCCTGGAACTGATTTTATATTTAACTTGAATGGACAAATTGTAGCCTTGAGCACACTGACATGTAACTGGTGATGGTGGTTGTTTTACAGGCAGTGATGGGCTTTTACCTTTTGTAGCTGGAAAAATTGAAGCTGTTTTAAAATGTTACCTGGGCCACAGTGAAAGTACAGCCATTTCAGAGGCTAGTAATACTTTCAAAATACTGAGAAATTATTCTAGTAATGAGTAATTCTTCTATTTCCCAGGTCAGTGTCTTAAAAGTGCCCAATATCTACTTGGAAGAGGAATCTTGGCTTAATATGCAGGAAAGAAACATGGCTAGGAAAACTCATTGCCTTACGTGAACGTGGTGTGCATCTCTGAGCGAGGAGTCTGTCTTCAGAGAGAGCCTGGAGAATCCGAACTGGTGAGTGCTGGCCTCGGTGCAGCAGTGTCCCAGTGCTGACTCAGGGCTGCTACTGCAGGCCCACGGCCCTGAAAATGGGATTTCTGTTGCCTTTTGAATGCTTGGAATGAGAGGGGTCCGAATAGTAATTTCTTTGTGTGTCTTCAGTGCATTTGAAGCAGCAGCTGGAGATGTCCTGTAGCTTTCCTCTGGCTTGTTCAGGTGTGAGGTTAGGTTCTCTGGCCAGAGCACAAATAATTGCTGGAAATTAATTTTCTGTGTGCTGCTCTGCAGTCATGGAAGGCTGCCCCGCTGTTCCCACAGGGAGTTCATTTTGCTCGTGTGTCTACCAATTTAAAAATTATCAGCTCCCTCCTACTTGCCAGCCATTGGCATGGAGCATACTTGTTCCCAAATAATTTTCTTTCTCCGGTGTCTGGCCCGCTGTGCCCCAAAGATGTAAGCTGCCGTGGGACTTTGCCTGGGAGAACACACACTTGTGGTTGCGTGGAGTGGAGCTTAGAAATGTCTTTATGCACGTTTACAGCCGGATCAGAGTGAAATTTCTAATTCCCATAGCATTGAAATGAGCAGGTATGTGATACATGTGACCATCTTTAAAAAATTATTTCCAGCTGATGTCAACCCCATTAATTTATACTTTGTTCTACTGTCTTTTGTAATTAGTCATTACTTTTGCCTTGTGATGTTCCCTGGGAAGTGTGGCAGGGTTGTCCAGCAAGGTCCATGTGACTTTGGAAAGCTTTAAGGATGGTTAAGAAAAAACCCACCAACTTCAGATGAAATTAAATTCCTTGTGGCTTAGGCATTTGTGAAAGCCCCATGCTGGGATGTTACTGTTTGAGGACACGTTCCTCTGGCTTTTTAAACTATTTCAAAAGTTTGCTGGGACCCTCTGTCCTTACTGTGGCTTCCTCTGCATCAGAGTTGCATTGCAACTGTAGATGTTGGTCCTGTTGGTGTGGAAACTCTGAACTACTGCAACTGGTCACTCACTCATGCCCTGTTGTCAAGGCTTTTCAGTTCCAGCTTAGGGAGGACACTGTCCTCAGCATGCTGCTCCTGCAGGCGTGTGCAGGGGAGCAGTCTGAGCTCAGTGTCACCTCCGCTCACTCTTACCTTAAAGCATCCTGTGGTGGTTGGGAAGGCTGAGGCGTAGCTGGGCTGCCCGAGGGGGATTGCAGCCTTAGCAGGGTCACGCACACAAGGTTTTGGTACTTGCCGGGGCGACGGGGGCTCTGGAGGGACCGCAGGCACTCGTGCAGGTTTGCAGCTGCAATAGCAAGCTGCAGGACCTCGGCTGTGCTGCCCAGGCCAAGTAGGTTCAAGGATACCTGGGTGTGCCTGTGCACACCACTGTCACCTCTTCAGGGATCTTGTGGAGGTAATCAGACCTAATGCTGGCTGGCAAAACAGGCGTGAAATTTCAGCTGTGTGTAGGGTACATACGGTGACATTTACATTTGAATAGATGAAGAAATTATGCAAAGGGCATAACATTAGCCGCATACTATTTCACTGAAGAGAAATAAGAAAACACACAATGAGGAGACTCAGGTGATCCTGCTTAGTGGTAAAATTGTACATTATGTCCCTAAGGAGAGAACAATGTTACCAGAGTGGCGGTAACCTCACTACAGACAGAAACTTGTCTTTCTCTCCTACTAAGCACTGCTGGGCAGGTTTCACTAGCAACCTCCTGAAACTCTTCAGGGCACTGGAAGTGTGAGGAGAATGAGAAAATTCTGCACCTCAGTCAGGCACCGTGCGTGCGTTGTAGTGGGCTGTTTGTTTAATCAGCTTTAACATGACATTGTTAAGGATGCTGGTAAAGCAGAGTGCCGCTTTGCTGGCATGCATCTCGGTCAGCCGCCTGAGCAGGCTGACCGCCTTCGCCTCTCCCCGCACCTCCCGGGTGTGCGGTGGGCTCCGTGCTGGGCACTGCCTGCACCCAACCTAGTGGGGAGCTGGGGGCTCCGGAGGTGCCGGGGCGGTGAGGCTGCCCTGCAGGCATTCCCCCGCTGTGGTACAGCCGCGGTACCCACGGCCCCGCTCTGTGCCCCTGCAGGGAGGTCTCTTGCTGGTGGGGTCAGTGACAGAGCTGCTGCTTTGAGGAGCTGCAGCCTGGTCCCAGGCATGTGTGGTGGGATGATGCTGATGGGAATCCAGAATATTTCTGCCCCTGTCAGATGAAGTTATAGCTGTCTGTGCTGGCTTCAGCCCAGCTACTTTGGAGAGCAATATGCTGTAGAAACTTAAACCACAAATCCAGTCCCTGCAGGGACCTGTGGCTTAGACGTTTAGGGTCTAAGCCACCATAGGGTGTGGGTTAGTTTACCCAGTTTAAGATTGGCAGTTACATCCTTTATGATTTTCAGCTAGAGTACCGCAAGTCAGGGAAGGGAGACTGACCTTCCTGATGTCCCTGATAGAGCTGGGGCAATCAAAGTGATGCTTGCTTAGTCCCAAACAGTCAGTTTAACCACAGCATACTTCTTCCTCTTAACGTCAGGCGGTTATTTTGTCCTAAATAAATGTGAGCATGGTGATGCCGACTGCTGCATATTCTTGCAAAGTGAATTATTGTGGGCGCTTCCAAGCAGAGCATCTAAATGTCTGAAAAGATCTAGTAGCAAACAAACATTACCATAAATAAATGATAAACCGTTGAAAAAGGCATGATGAGGCATATCTGTATATTCAGAGGCCAGAAAGCACCTGTGTTATCCTCTTGGCTGAACTCCTTCATGACACTTTTTACTTGGTTTCCGTGCTTTAATTGCTGTTATAGAGAAGCATCTCATCTTGCTGTCTAAAATCTGGAGACACCAGTTGGTCCCCGCGGGGAAGGCATGGCCCCAGGCTGGCTGGGTCCAGACCTGAGCGGTGTTTGCCTGCAGAGTGTCCCGGGCGGCTTGCCGGCAGTGCCCTGGTGTTTGCCGGCACTGCCTGTGGGATGCGGCTCCGGAGGGCTCCGGGTCTCACAGCTTTGACTGCCGGTATATCGAAGCAGTGTGACTCTCGTCAGCTGCTCTCCTCCACTTGCACGTGTACGTGCTTGGATTGGTGACAATTTCTAGAGCAATTCACTTGCGCTCAGCCCAAAAGCATGCGCTGCATACGTGAGGTTTGAGCTCGCCTTCCCCCAGCTGAGCTGGGCAGCGTCCGTGTTGACGGGGAGGGCTCTGGGAAGAGTGGTCCGTGCACAGTGCCAAACCAAAGGGAAAGTCAGTGGCAAAACTCCCCTCTACCCGCCTGGATTTATGTTGAAGTTGTGTACAGGCAGATTTCCACGTGTCTGGGCAGGTTATACCTGTCTTTCCACAGCAGAGAACCCCTGTGTAGCTTGAATTTTGTCTCCAGTGTCATGTCCTGTCCCTCAGTGTTTTGGTTTGACTCTTCCCCCCTCCCTGCCAGGAGCGTTTCTTTGCTGTTTCATTTTGTTTCCCTCGGTGGCCCTCAGATTCCCTTTCTTACCCAGAGCTTTCCCTCATTTCGGACGGCCCGAGGGAGCTGCAGGCTCTCGTGGTGCGGTGGGCGCAGCGTGGGAAGGTGTCTCCCTGATGCGGAGAGATGCCCATGATGCACGAGCAGTGCTTGTCAGCTGGCGATGGGAATTAGAAAGATCTCCGGTACAAAAGCTCCCTCTTTTGAAGAGCCTTGCACTGGATGTAACTTTTAATTTAGTTTTGAAAGCCATGCAGGCTTTGGAAACTCTCCCTGACACTATCTGAACAAGAATATTGCTAGACTTTTTATACTAAAGACACTTTAATTAAACTCCCATCATGAAAACAATTAGACCAAATTTGCCGTACTTAACTAGTCAATAATTTAGTAGTTGGATCTCATTAATAGACTTCTCCCTGTGACTGTGTTGTAATGATGCAGCATTGCCAGCTGCGTGCTACGGAAATCAATCAGAGATCTGCATTTTCCTTGAGCCTCCCTTGTTTGTCCCCTACAACAGTGAAACTGCAAATTGAAGAAGTAATTCCCAATGGTGGATTGTTACTGCTGACACCCACCCTGTGGCTGGGGGGAACTTCTCACCTTCTCCAGCTCCTTCGCTTGAACTCCACCGTTTGTCTTCGTACCGAATTGCATTGACAGAAATAACGAATGGTCGTGGCCCGCCGAGGGCTGGGGAGGTGCCGGGTCCACGTGAGGGCTGCGGGGACAGGAGTGGGAGCCCCCCCCTCGCTGTTACCACTGCCTCTGTGCTCCGTGGCTGGGATAATGTCCTGAGGACCCTCTAAAATCGTAGAAGCGTATTTCACTCTGGATTTTGTGGTTCTGGAGACGGCTGTCGTGTCCTCTCCAGACCTTGCTGTCCCAAAGCAGCGTCCAGCCGGACCTTCAGCAGTGCTGACCGCGGGAGGTGGTCGTTACAAACCTCTCATTACACCGATGTTCCTGCATTCGTTATGTTTGCCTTTGTCATACAACATGTATGAATGTAACAGGTGAATTCCTTACTTGGGTATCAAACACCAGCTTTGATGTAGAGTTTACACTTCATGCACACTAAGTGGACAGAGGACCAAAGGGTGTTACGTTCCTGTTTCTTAAGACAGACTTCACACAGAAAGGCAGGATAGCAGGTACAGGGGCAGGTTTGCTCAGCTGTGTGTTGGAAGCTTTTGCTCAATCCTTTTTAAAACCAGGTGTGAAGAACGTCATTTATTGCTTTAATTTCTTCCCTGAATTATATTCTAATTTTTTCAAATCACCAGATCATCTGGGCTCAAAATTAAATTGATGTTTTAAGTCTGGATTCTTTACACCTTTTAATTGTTGAAAAACTGTTTGTCCTTTTCTTTTGTCTACAGAGATTAAGCAGAAGAAAAATGGATTTAGTTTTATTATGGTAATAGTTTTATTTCAAATACGTTTTAAAACATGGCATATATAACTGTATCAGTTTCTGTAATTCATTCTTATTCCTGATTTCCCCTAGGCATTGCAACAGTTCTTCTTCCTAATGCCTCATTGTACCAGCTAATGCTGTAATAATAATTTGCGTTTCTATAGCACCTTTACACTGAAATAGTCAAAAGTAGTCAACATGAATTTATATCACGTCACGCATTTTTCTCCAGTAATGTCAGAATTTTTTTTGGCAGCTTGATGTATTTACAGTAGCCACAGTCAATCTCCCTGTAGCAGTTCCGTATACTTCAGTAGTTGTGTCTTTCAGTAAGAATTATGAAAGAGGATAAAAGCTATCCAGCTATCCAGCAGAGCATCCCAGGGGAGGTAGCGTTCAAAGGCCTCTCGTTTCTGGGAGTCATCGCATATTGATAAACTAGGATTAACAGTAACGTCTCCCGAAGCGTTCATTGGGAAATGAAGTTTCGTGGAAGTCTTGTTCTCTGGAAGTTTGTGCCTTGAAGAGATTTGGGGGTTCAGGTTGTGCTGTGCAGGCTGTTTAAAGTTTACACCTGCTGAAAAAGGAGTAAGAGCTCTGGAAGGAATATTTAATTAAACCTATTTAATGTGAAAGTAAGAGAGGTTTTTTGCTTTTTTTTTTTTCCTTCTTCCCCCCCACCCCTCCAGTTTGTATCTTATTTCAGATGAATGAAAGTGTATGTATGTGCCTGACAACGTGGCGTTTTCACTGCTGGGATCATGACTCTTACATACTGCAAAGCTGTAATGAGCCTATGTTTACCATTATTTATCATTTTTTAGTTATCATCTGATGGAGAAATTTGTTTTTCAGATGAACTTGGATGTCGACAGTTCAGATCATGCCTTATGTCATCCTTTAATTATTCCTGGGGACCGAGTGGCTAATACTGTTAAGTTTTGCTTTGTTTTGGGTTTTGGTTTTGTTTTCAAGTGGCCTTAGTAGTGTCCTGTCTCTTCTCCCACTGAAGTGGGTGTGTGTTGGAGCGTGGAGCCCGGGCAGCACCCGCGGTCCCGTCGGACCCTCTCCTCTCCGCTGGCGCAGGGGCCAATGGCCCCGACCTCTCGTTTGTGCTTCAGAAGCTGATTTTGGAATTTGTGCCCCAAGAGCTGTAGATGGAAACGTGTTTCAAAGGGCATGGCTGTTTATCCATTCGCTTATTCTTGATAACAATAGGATCTTTTTGTTGTGGCTTTAAAAGAAAAAAGAGACAGAAGTAGACAGCTGTGCTAGTGCAAGCCGTGACCGGGAGCGCTGGAACGCGCCTTGCAGCACAGAGCTAGCAGATAAAACAAACTGGCTCGCATGTCTCTATAGTGCTGCATTATAAATCCTTTTGCAATTTTGGCTGTATCTGCAGATCTGTGAAAAAGAAAAATACAGCGCACCAGCTCTGGTATAAACGTACCGTCTCGCCTGGTTTCCCCCCGCCTCCAAAACCTCCGTCACCCTGAGGCAGGAGCTGCATCTGCACATCATGGCTTCTGCGCTGTTAGAGCGGGTTCCTTCTGTGGCTTGGCCATAGGGTGGTTTTGAGGCACGTCTTTCTTACCCAAACGTAATAAACATCGATACGTGGATGGCATTTAAAGTTTTAAAGCATATGTTGCGTGAGTGACAATGCTTGATAAACATTCTCCAAGCTTCCCTTTACTTCTTAACCTTCCTGTACCTGATGTGCATCCTTCCTCGTGGCCTGACCAAACAGGCATGGCTTTTCTGGCCCCTGCTGGGACTGGTGGGAGTACGTAAGGGCGTTACTGTCAAA